CTCCTTTAACACACACCTTTTATTGGCCCTTATTATTATTATTAGAGGGTAATTTTCTCTAATTCTTTTATAGTTATAGTCTATTAGGTTTTCTTCTTCCCTCTACTTGACCCAATTTTATTTATTTACATCACTCTTAAAAAAAATTCAGGTTTTCAAATATCTAAGACATAGATATAGCCACATCTAAAACTTAAATAATGAAAGTAAAATGACGAGAAAAGACAAATCAGAGATATGCAAACAAGAAGAAAACAAAAGTTTGATTTAGGGGCATAAGCTAAACTGAATGCAAAAGGAAAAAAATCACACAACTTGGTAGATAGAGCGACCTCACAATAAAAAGGGGCTAGGGCTTCCCTGGTGGCGCAGTGGTTGAGAGTCTGCCTGCCAATGCAGGGGACGCGGGTTCGTGCCCCACTCCGGGAAGATCCCACATGCCACGGAGTGGCTAGGCCCATGAACCATGGCTGCTGAGCCTGCGCGTCCAGAGCCTGTGCTCCGCAACGGAAGAGGCCACAACAGTGAGAGGCCCGCGTTAAGGGGCTAATACGTTCCTTAAGTTCTTGAATCCTAAATAATATCCTTCATTTCCCCTTAATTAAGCACAACTTGGCTAGTTAGGAAATGCTTTAGATACATTCTTTTTGTCCATCAGAACTCTCTAGTTGTTGAATCATTAACTTTGGAAATCTTTTGTGGTTGAAAAGAAATAAGTCAGCCTCATTACCTTTCCGTTGTACATGATCTACCTTTTTTTTTTCCCTTGATGTTTATGAAATCACTTCTGTAATCTCTGAAAATTCAGTAAATTCCATCACAATATTTTCCTAAAACATGAGCCCTTTTAATCTCCAGATTCGTGTTTTCATTCGTTCTAAACAAGTTTACTATTTTTTTTTTGCGATATGTGGGCCCCCCACCGTCGCGGCCTCTCCCGTTGCCGGACGCGCAAGCTCAGCGGCCACGGCTCACGGGCCCAGCCGCTCCGCGGCACGCGGGATCCTCCCGGACCGGGGCACGAACCCGTATCCCCCGCATCGGCAGGCGGACTCCCAACCACTGTGCCACCAGGGAGGCCCTACTATTATTTTTTAAAAATGTTTTCCATTTCCCATTATTCTGTTGTCTTCTCCACAGAAACTAATCATGGCTTTTCATTATCTGCAATTCTCTTTAACTGCCTTCATTTCTTTGCTCACTGTATCTACATTCTATGCAGTTTCCTCGAGTTCGAACCCTTCCTGGTTACATTTTCAATATTGTTTACTCTGCTCCTTGCTGTTTATAATAAATTACTTTCTATAATACAAATATGTTCCTGCTCTTCTTTATACTTAGTTCTACCATTTCTCTTTTTTTTTTTTTTTTTTAATTTTTTTTTTTTTTTTTTTTTTTTTTTTTCTTGCGTTATGCGGGCCTCTCACTGTCGTGGCCTCTCCCATTTGCGGAGCACAGGCTCCGGACGCGAAGGCTCAGTGGCCATGGCTCACGGGCCCAGCCGCTCCGCGGCATGTGGGATCTTCCCGAAACGGGGCACGAACCCGCGTCCCCTGCATCGGCAGGCGGACTCTCAAGCACTGCGCCACCAGGGAAGCCCCCATTTCTCTTTTTATGTTATCTTATTTTTGTTCTTTTTTTCCAGATGTCATTTGCTGTTCTTGGCAGTTTAGAACAACTGTCTAAAATTTTCTTTTTTCCTAGAAAAATACAATTCTTCCAAAGTGCTGATCAGCTATTTTTGAGTGCTAAATTATCCCCATAGGATTCATGTTTGTTAATTTATTTGTATTCTGTTAATTCATCTTTGAATAAGAAAAATTCTCTCTGGCTCCACCATTTAAACAAAAATGTAGACAGTGTCTCCCTGAGGACTGAACATTGGGCACTTGTTTTAAAAGATTAACATCAGAACTCTCAACTCAAACTACACTTGCTTAATTAGCTGGATAAACAGCATGGAGGAAGAAGTTGGGACTAAAGTTATCAAGTCCTTTTTTTCTGTGTAATTTCTAAGTCTGCTTAAGCTCCCCCAATTGAGAACCAGCTCCACTTGGATTATGACCACACCTTATGCTGTAGGGGACTCTCAGTTTTGGCACATCTGCCTAACTTTGGGATGAGCCAGATTCCTGAGAGACTTACTGAGTCATATGGAACCCATAATTCACCATCATTTTAGTTTAGTGGGTTAGCACATAATTTTTTCTGTTCCTGTAAAGTTGGTGAGACATTTGCTTCACAATTCTACTCTAAGCCTTACCTCACCTGTAGGCTTTGCTCCTCCTGTTAAGCCCAGAGAAAAATGGTATGACCGCTAAGTCTCTCCATTAGCTCTATTCCAGCTGAAATTAGGTTTTCCCTATTTCTCTCAAAGCTGCCCATAGCTCAAACTCCTCCCTCTAAATAAGCAAATGAAAGTACACTTATTATACATTCCCTTAAACATCTGATTCAGGGATACATTTATCAACTGTCAATGTTCTCACACTCAATTCAGTCTAAATGGCTTATCTAGCACCAATTCTGTCCAGCTTGTGGTAGCTTCTACTTGGATACATTTTTCTTTTAAATTATTTTAGGGAATTCAAGGGAAGATAACTTAATAAACATTTATTTAACTCTATCATTTTTCCTCAACATCAACTCACCCAATTTAATAATTTAAAATATAAAATCTGCATACATATTTTATCTCCTGGAAGACATATACTATGAATTACTTCATCGAGAACAGTGTGTACACACAGTAGGTATTCAATATCAGCTGAATTAATTCTCCTCATGAGAGATATCTGAAATATACTCAGCATATCTATCAAATAACTCTAAGTACTTCAGTTCCATATTAAAGCAGAGTATGTTTTAAAATGCCCTCGTGTGTTCTAAAATGTCCACCTTTCGACCTTGCTCTCATAGTTCTCCTACAAATATATCAAACAATGTTTCTTTAAAATATAAAGGGTACGAGGAAAGACAGTTTAGAATGAAAACTAAAACCTCCACTGAATAAATCAAACTAAAACTTGTTTAAAGCTCTAATTAAGAAAGGAACAGTGCCATAATGGATATGGTACCATAAGCACTGCAAACAAACAGACCTATATTCAAATCTTCACTCTGCTATTTGCTATCTGTGTGACATAGAACCAGTTACCTCAAGTAAACATTAGATTCCCCATTTGGAAGATTAGGATAATTCCTACAAATCACACTGAATTGTTACAAGGTTTAAATGAGATAATAAAATAAGTGGGCATTCAGTATATGGTAGAGTTGTATACAGTTTATACATATAGTGTGTGTGTATACATTTATCTCCAAATTCTGATCTCTGATCTGGATAGGAGAGTCGCAGCTCCATTCCAAAGGGAAATTTATGTTCTAGGCTCCCTTAAAAATTAAGAAGCCAGTTCTAAACAATAAAATTTCTTACCTGTGCCAAAAAGTATACTGTTACAAAATTATTTTATGTTTCAATTATCACTTAAATAATGCTTTTGTCCTATATATCAATAGTTTCTAGAATTGATTAAGTTCATGCAAACAGAAAGTAATAACAGAAAGTATACCTGAGCCTCTAAAAGCTAGCTTTGCCCAAGTCTCTTTCTAAAGAAAAGAGCCGCAGGCAAGTCTTCAACATGAAGAAGCACAGTACCCCAACCACAACTAACTAGACCAAAAGTAATGAGCTGGAAGTAAAACCAACCACCAGTGACTATGGCAATATCAAGACCAACTATCAGCTATGCTCTCCAGGAACAGGGAGGAGAGATGCATACAGAGAAGTAAGCAGGGATTCATAAAGAATGAAGACTTATTCTTTTTGAGCTATTAGAGAATTTGAGCTATTAGAGAATCTTGAACAATAATCAACCACTATTAGAGATCACCAGGATAACAGCACAATTTCCAATTCTTGGAAATAGTAGAACACACAAACACACACACATAACACACTGCTATTGGGATGCTTCTCTGTGTCCCTGTGCCAAATAAAGCAATACTTCTGAAAATTTTTGAGTCAATACTCATATCACAGAAGAAAGTAAAGAGTGCTATGGACAATCCTGTTGAAATGTCTTTGGAATTTCCCATTGGACCTTAAATTTTCATGAATTACTTATCCTATGCCATAATATGCCAAGGAACTGTTTTACTGTAAAACTGTTTTCATTAAAATCTTTAAGGGCGGGCTTCCCTGGTGGTGCAGTGGTTGAGAGTCCGCCTGCCGATGCAGGGGACACAGGTTCACACCCCGGTCCGGGAAGACCCCACATGCCGCGGAGCGGCTAGGCCCATGAACCATGGCCGCTGAGGCTGCGCGTCCGGAGCCAGTACTCCGCAGCGGGAGAGGCCACAACAGTGAGAGGCCTGCGTACCGCAAAAAAAAAAAAAAAAAA